AGAAAGAGCTGAAATGGGAGGCAATTAAAAGAAAGGAGTAACACAAAGAAGATGATAAAAAAAAATAAAGAATTAAGGTAAAAGAAAATACACATTAAAAGCAGGGGGTCACAAAGAACTCAGAGAAATGTTCCCAACAACTGTTAAGTGCTGAGCAGTTTCCACGCAGGGCTGCAGTAGCTATACAGCATTGTGTAGTCAAAGGGAATTATATGAAATTTTCATTGTCTTCAAAGAGTGTATCGTCAGGAACTGCAGCAAGCTGTATCTCAAGTTTTCAAAACTTTTTTGGTGCTTCTTCACCCCTGGTGGTTTTCTCTCACCCACATTCTATTTTGTCTTTAGCAGGAAGATTTTTCACATTCAAATAATTTGCAGATATTCTCTGCTTTTGATCAGAACATAAGAGCAAGAAGGTGAACTGAAACAATTCTGTGTGGGTTCTTTCTGCAATTTTCTCTCTACTCTGAGCAAGGAAGCCAGGTCAACTACCGGAAAGAAATGAATTACTGGAGTGAGGTTCTCTCCTGCCACCTTCTACATTATCTTATGTGCCCACAAAATCTTTCCCCCAAAAAACACAAAGCGAAAAAGAGACCAGCATTCTGGCACAAGGGGGTAAGCCACACTGCTGGCAATCTTGGCATTCCATAGTAGAACATGGATTCCAGTACCAGCTGCTCCACTTCCAGTCCTGCTCCCTACTGATCTGCCTAAGAAAGCAGATGATGTCCAAGTACTTGAACCCTTGCTAACCCTCGAATCCTGGCTTCAGCCTGGCCCAGCCTCAATAGTTGCAACCATTTAGGGAGTGAACTAGTGGATGAAAGACCTCTCTATTGCTGCCCCTGCCACTCTGTCCTCCTGCTTTTCCAATAAATTTTAAAAATTATTGGGGCCAGCTCCGTGGCACAGGTTAATCCTCTGCCTGCAGCACCGGCATCCCATATGGGTGCCAGTTCTAGGCCCGGCTGCCCCTCTTCCAATCCAGCTCTCTGCTATGGCCTGGGAAAGCAGTGGAGGATGGCCCAAGTGCTTGGGGCCCAGCACCTGCATGGGAGACCAGGAAGAAACTCCTGGCTCCTGGTTTTGGAATGGCGCAGCTCCAGCCATTGCGGCCATCGGAGGAGTGAACCAGCAGAAGGAAGACCTTTCTGTCTCTCCCTCTCACTGTCTGTGACTCTACCTGTCAAATAAAAATCTTAAAAAAAAGCTATTCTTTGAAAATCAAGCAAGCAAACATACACACACACACAGAAAGGCTTAAAGATGATGACTTTCCTGAAGGCAAACTGAGTGAAATTTATAACAGGGTGTTGACAAAATCTACAAATACCAACATTCCATCTTGGAGAATAGAAGTTACTGCTTCTTAGCCAAAGGGAGAAAACAAGGCTGGGCTGAGGAGAAAACAAGGTAAAGGAAATGTAGGAAGCCACCTTCCTGTGACACCCTACATCCAGTGTAGACACTATCTATGACTACTCATATACCATACAGTCTGCATAAGGGAAAACCGAACACAAACACACAAAAAGCACCTGCTGGAGAGGAAAGCCTACTGCACTTACTTCTCCTGTGTCAGGAAGAGCCACTTTTAAAGATACCTGGACATTCAGCCATCGTTTTCAAAGTAGGGGTTGCTACTTACTATGAGGGTCGCGGGATCAATTTAACAGATCTTCATCATCATAGCATTCTGTTTGTCTTTTGGTGTTTAATTTGGAATTTGTCCCTGTTCTTGCTTAAAATATTACTATGACCCAAGTTTGCTGTTCTAACAAAGGCTATGGAACTACATAGGATGCCAGCTGTTGGGCAGCAGACAGCAAGGAACTCATCCTGGAAGATGCCTGGTGATCTACAGTCATGCTGCAGTGGTTGTACACCTGTTTCTGGATACCACAAGCCTACCACACTGAACAGAGGATTAGTGTGTGTCTGCTGCCAATGGCTGACTATAGCAATATGTTGCTAGGAAGGTAAGCTAGGGGAAGAACTGGGCAATTTACAATAAACAAATAAGATTTTTGTGTAAGGTGTAAGGTAGGGGTCTTGCTTCATGATTCTGCACGTGCAAATCCAATTTTCCCAACACCATTTATTGAATAAACTGTCCTTGCTCCAGGAATTAGTTTTAGATCCTTGATCAAATATAAGTTGGCTGTAGATGTTTGGGTTGATTTCTGGTGTTTCAATTCTGTTCCATTGGTCTATCCATCTGTTTCTGTACCAGTACCATGCTGTTTTGATGACAACTGCCCTGTAGTATGTCCTGAAATCTGGTATTGTGATGCCTCCAGCTTTGTTTTTGTTGTACAAGATTGCTTTAGCTATTCGAGGTCTCTTGTGCCTCCATATAAATTTCAGCACCATTTTTTCCAGATCTGAGAAGAAGGTCTTCGGTATCTTGATTGGTATTCCATTGAATCTATAAATTGCTTTTGGGACAATGGACATTTTGATGATATTGATTCTTCCAATCCATGAGCATGGAAGATTTTTCCATTTCTTGGTATCCTCTTCTATTTCTTTAAGGTTTTGTAATTTTCATCGTAGAGATCTTTAACGTCCTTGGTTAAGTTTATTCCAAGGTATTTGATTGTTTTTGTAGCTATTGTGAATGGGATTGATCTTAGAAGTTCTTCCTCAGCCATGGCATTGTCTGTGTATACAAAGGCTGTACACAATTTCCACGTGCAGAATCATGAAGCAAGACCCCTACCTTACACCTTATACAAAAATCCACTCAACATGGATTAAAGACCTAAATCTACGACCTGACACCATCAAGTTACTAGAGAACATTGGAGAAACCCTTCAAGATATTGGCACAGGCAAAGAATTTCTGGAAAAGACCCGGGAGGCACAGGCAGTCAAAGCCAAAATCAACTATTGGGATTGCATCAAATTGAGAAGTTTCTGTACTGCAAAAGAAACAGTCAGGAGAGTGAAGAGACAACCGACAGAATGGGAAAAAATATTTGCAAACTATACAACAGATAAAGGGTTAATAACCAGAATCTACAAAGAGATCAAGAAACTCCACAAAAACAAAACCAACAACCCACTTAAGAGATGGGCCAAGGACCTCAATAGACATTTTTCAAAAGAGGAAATCCAAATGGCAAACAGAAACATGAAAAAATGTTCAAGGTCATTAGCAATCAGGGAAATGCAAATCAAAACCACAATGAGGTTTCACCTCACCCCGGTGAGAATGGCTCACATGCAGAAATCTACCAACAACAGATGCTGGCGAGGATGTGGGGAAAAAGGGACACTAACCCACTGTTGGTGGGAATGCAAACTGGACAAGCCACTATGGAAGTCAGTCTGGAGATTCCTCAGAAACCTGAAGATAACCCTACCGTTCGACCCAGCCATCCCACTCCTTGGAATTTACCCAAAGGAATTTAAATTGGCAAACAAAAAAGCACTCTGCACCCTAATGTTTATTGCAGCTCAATTCACAATAGCCAAGACCTGGAACCAACCTAAATGCCCATCAACAGTAGACTGGATAAAGAAATTATGGGATATGTACTCTTTAGAATACTATACTGCAGTAAGAAACAACGAAATCCAGTCATTTGCAACAAAATGGAGGAATCTGGAACACATCATGCTGAGTGAAATAAGCCAGTCCCAAAGGGACAAATACCATATGTTCTCCCTGATCGGTGACAACTGACTGAACACCAAAAAGGAAACCTGTTGAAGTGAAATGGACACTATGGGAAACGGTGACTGGATCAGCATAGCCCTGACTGTTAATGAACAACTTAATACATTATCCCTCTTAGTAGTTTTTTTGTCTGTTCTACTTAATATGACTGATTTAATTCTGTAATTAATACACAGTTATTCTTAAGTGTTGAAAATTAACTGAAATGTGATCCCTGTTAAACATAAGAGTGGGAATAAGAGAGGGAAGAGATGTATAATTTGGGACATGCTCAAGCTGACTTGCCCCAAATGGTAGAGTTAGAAACATACCAAGGGATTCCAATTCAATCCCATCAAGGTGGCATGTACCAATGCCATCTCACTAGTCCAAGTGATCAATTTCAGTTCACAATTGATCATAATGAAAGGACTAAGAGTCAAAGGGAGCACATAAACAAGTCTAGTACCTGCTAACACTAACCGATGGAATAAATAAAGGGGAGAGTGATCCAACATGGGAAGTGAGATACTCAGCAGACTCATAGAATGGCAGATGTCCTAAATAGCACTCTGGCCTCAGAATCAGCCCTAAAGGCATTCGGATCTGGCTGAAAAGCCCATGAGAGTATTTCAGGCATGGAAAGCCAAGACACTCTGGCAAAAAGATCTCTGTGAGTGAGATCCCAGTGGAAAGAACAGGTCTTCAAAGAAGGAGGTACCTTTCTCTAAAGGGAGGAGAGAACCTCCACTTTGACTATGACCTTGTCTAAACAAGATAAGAGTCGGAGAACTCAGAGGGCTTCCATAGCCTTGGAAACTCATGACTGGAGCATAGGGAGATTACTGATGCCATAGACAGGAGTGTCAATTGGTAAAGTCAACAACAGGAGTCACTGTGCACTTACTCCTCATGTAGGATCTCTGTTCTTAATGTGCTGTACATTGAGACTTAATGCTATAACGAGTACTCAAACAGTATATTTCACTTTGTGTTTCTATGGGGGTGCAAACTGTTGAAATCTTTACTTAATGCATACTAAACTGATCTTCTGTAAAAAAAAAAAAAGAAGAAATTATCAATTCATCAACTCCCAACTTGACTCTCACTGGGATTAAACATGACAATAGGTCTGATCTGATTTCATCATCATTTAAAAAAAATCATCTATTATTTTTCACTTTATGTTTCTGTGTGGGAGCAAACTGTTGAAATCCTTACTTAATGTATACTAAGCTGATCTTCTGTATATTAAGATAATCGAAAATGAATCTTGATGTGAATGGAAGGGGAGAGGGAGTGGGAAAGGGGAGGGTTGTGGGTGGGAGGGACGGTATGGGGGGGAAGCCATTGTCATCCATAAATCGTACTTTGGAAATTTATATTCATTAAATAAAAGTTAAAAAAATAAACAAATAAGAGAAAAAATATGGTGTGTCAATATTTAGGGCCTTGCATCCCTCATAGACTCTCAGTTGAATAAAATGACTCCAAGCAGAGACCCAGTGAAGGGTATCTGGGAACTTCAAAAAGTTTGTGGAAAAATACAATGAAAACATAAGCCTATTTAGGTATAAATTTTTTTGAAACCTATGAATTTTTTTTCTCAATACACATTTTCTATGAATATTTTGAGGTATTCTCACATGGTTTGACACAGACTCAATATGGCGGTCATTAATTTGCATAGAAGAGAAAATGAGAGAATGAATATAAAGGAGATTTGAGAATTTTTGAGTGTAATTACTAACTCATGGAACATACTGGAAAGAGTATCAGGAGCTTACTGAGTTCTTAAGGGACAAGTATTGCTGAAGGAAACCAGAAGCTGAGACAAAAAGCCTCTGTGATTTAAAATGACTCTCAGATCTCCACTTCTCATAAACAGGAAACAAACTAAGGAAATTGTATAGCCTTTGAGGAGGGAATATTACATCATTCTTACTCCAGTCTTCCTCAAGCAGATAAAGAAGAAATCACCCACAGGACTGAGTTAGAGACTAATGGAGGACAATGACAAAAGACTCCTTTCAGAGCACCTCATCAAGGACTCCCCCACACCTGGGTGGAGAAACTGCTTTCCAACACCTGGCAGATTTCAACTATCACAGACCATTCACTGCTAGGTGACCCCATTCTTTCCCTTTCCTCTAAACAAAGATACGTTATTTGGAATCCCAAGGGGTGTTCTTATTGTGATTAACTTCTCTGTCATAGATACTTAGGAATCAGGAAGCACACATGATTTGTCTTTCTAGTTCATAGATCTCCAAACCAAGTAGAGCCATATGCACACCTGAGACATGATTTATTAGGCATTATCTAGAGATGCTGGGCTTTGAGCTATGTATAATGACAGGATGAAGCATCAGTTCGTCATCTTCTGGAAGGAGTTGCATATATTCTATATGAGAAGTGTAGGGATTGTCTATGAGGTATTTTTTGATAATGAGATCAGCTGTGGCACAATTGGTCCATGTTGACCAGACATACACATATTCCTTTGTATTTCCCAGTTGCTGAGGTTAGGGCCACATGGTTAGTTTGAGCCAATAGATTGCAACCCAGTGTGTTCTTTCTCTCTCTCTCTCTCTAGGCTCTCAGTATTGAGACCTTGAGGCACTGTATCACCAATGTTGTAGCTATTGGAGCCACGAAACTATAGATGACTTTATATGCCCAAGAGATAATCATGGGATTAAGGTGCTTTTTTGGGGGGAGGGGGGATAGTTGCCTATTATAGTTCTAGGAGTAATAATCATATTTTGTCATCATCTGTTTTATGATAAGGATGTTCTAATCAGGACAAGACCTGTCTACTAAGAAGCTAATTTCAGAGCCCAAAGCACTGAGATCAGGACAAGGATTGATCATGGGATGCAGCATAAGGCTTTGTGCACCAGAAAAGAGATCTGGCTTCTCTTGGCATGTTTTGTGCCAACTCTGAGCTTCTGCTAATCACCTGTAATAGAAAGAGATGAAGTCACATTTCCCAAATATTTCCCTCCATAAACGTGAACATCCACAGTTCTCCATCTATAGTATGGTATCCCAGGTTTCTTTTTCTGTTTAATTCCCAAGTAAAAGCGATGGATCTGAATTCAGGGGGGAGGGGTCATTCACAGAACCTTCATACACAATAACTGCTCTCCTTCTTGAACAGTGGTTTTCAGCTGCAGGTGCCCACAGCCTGGTGGTCTCAGCCTGTTGAGAAGCACACCTCAAGTTAAGGGTTACTAATCATGGCTATGGGGCAGAACGTTCTCATTTACCTTTAAACATTCAAGTTATAGATTATTCCTGGGAGAGACGATAAATAAGTTCCTTAAGCAGGGCAGCTGGGAAAACAGCCTTTGGCTTGGCATCTCTCTGCAACAGCCCAAAGGCAGATCCCTTCCTGTCGTTTTACTATTGATTGTGGCAATTATGAACTCTAATTACACTGCTTTACTTCCCTGGAGTTTTCCCTCTAAGTTTCACCATATATGGATTATTGCCATTCACCTTATGTGTGAATATTCTTCTGACACCAACTGATCATCAGCAGTCCAGTTCTGACATTAACTATCCAGAGTTAGTACAGATCCCATGAGATAAAGGTTCAGTCACATCAGACCATACCCCCTTCAGATTCCAGCCACAAATGGGGTGCCTAGGCTCCCTGAACTTCAGCTCTACAAACCATGCATTCAGGAATTCCCATGACAACGTTTCCCACCTCAGGTTCCATAATTCATTAGACTGACTCACAGAACTCAGCAAAGTACTTCACTCACTAATGCGGGTTCATTATAGAGGGTCTAATCCAGGAGTAGGGACTGATGCATAATGCAAGAAGAAGGCAGAACTTCCAAGTCCTTTCCAGGCCATGCCACAGATCTGCAAGTTCTCTGAACTCTGTTATTTAGAAGGCTTTGTTAACACGGCATATTGAATTCAATCTCAAGTCCTTATCCCCTTCTCAGAAGTGTGGTGGTAGGTGGGACGGGGAGGACTGGGGTTGTACGTTCCAACTTTTCAATGGCAAGGCTGCTTCCTCTTGCAACCAGTGCCCATCATGAAGGTATCTGGGGACCCAGCAAGAGTCACCTCATTAGCATAAACATGGATGTAGTTCACAGAGGCTCCCTATGAGTATTCCTATCACTCAGGAAATTCAGAGTCTGGGGAGCTCCATGCTAGGAACCAGGGACACAAATCAAATGTCATTGATTATTGCACTACACAATGTTTCACTGGGTTAGCCTTGGTCTTATTTTTGGTAATTGACACTTGCAGATGTAAAGAACTCTACTGCTCCTAAATGCCTGTCCTTTAGCTTCTAATGGTGTTCCATGAGCTGGGAGGAGGCCTTGAGTTTTCATTGAAGAACCCAGACGGCCCCTCAGCTGGCTCCTTACTAGTGTGCTGCACACAGACCCTGTGCTGTTATTAGCATGTTGACTACAGCTGTAGTTACCTGGTGACAGGGAGGAATTATAGACAGCAGTTTACTTGCAGACCCCCTGCCTGGTAGTCAATTTTCTGAGTATGCCTCTCTTCTGGGGAGTATGTAATTTTGATACCTGTTTAATTTTCATCCTTCCTTCTTGTTTGACAGAGTGATTTCTCACCCTGTTTAGATAGTGCCATGTACCCTTCAATTGGGTTTCTTCTTCCTGCTGTTATGGACTGTACCTGCCTGAAATATTTAGAGCAACAATTTTCCAAAACTTGTTCATTTAATTGGGACTGCTTGTATGCACACACACACATTTCTTTCTCTGACAAAGGAGGAACTCTTTCAACATTCTTATTTCCTGGCTTGCTAAATACTTATTTATATTTTGAACTTATAAAGCAAACTACCATTCATAAAATATGAAACTTACAGTGGACAGACTATTTTTGAGGGAAATCCAAACATGGATCCACAGTGATTTTCTTGTGATTTGAAATAAACAAGAGGGTACTAAAATTTCCAACCTACTATCAAGGTCTCTTATAAATCATTCTTGAGGATCCACAAAATCAACCTGAGTGACTCAACAAAGTTCTCAGTGCACAAGTCAATGACTAGAACAGCAATCACTCCCACCCTGGGAGGAGCAATCCCAGACTCGGATTAGCTCAGTGAAGGATGCATGGACACAAACACAAAGCAAACTGCTCCTATTACAGACTACCTTTAAACCAGTGACAAAAAAAAAAAAAAAAAAAAAGGAAAACCCATCAAAATCCATTCCTGATCTGGAACCCTCACACATTCTTCCAACACAAATGTCTACTCTCATGGCAAATGCCCCCCCCCCTTTTTTTTTGCAGGGATACTGGCTGCCAGAAAAGTATTCTAATGAATCTTCACAAGCAGGGAGTCAATTCAGCAAACTGCTTTATTTTCATGTCTCTTTATTTCTAAGAGTTCCTCCAATTGATCCACCTTTGGGCATGCCAATAAACATGTTTTTAGAAAAATCAGCTTCAACTTGTTTTGAGTCTAAGAATTTGTCCTTCCCCTGATGTTTTATCCACCACTCATGCTATCCAATGAAGCAAAATGTTCACAGCATGTTTGGGAACGAAATGGGTGTATTGGGGAAGGAGGAGAGCTAACTCAACGTTTGTGTAAACACGGTCTGCACTGTGCCATGGCAAAGAGACCCAGGCCCATTAGCCAAAACCCCAGAAAAATTGCAGGGCTGCATCTTTCAAAGAATAATAATAAAACCCTACTCTATGAAACACAACAATTCTTAAAATCCTCTTTCCTCTTCTCTTCAACTCATAAATATTACAAATATCCCAGAACCTCCTCAAACCTCTTACTCTCCTCTTTCCATCAGAAATCATCTCTTTGTAGGTCATGTGATGCTAAAAAAATAGGCAGAACTATATATACTAACACACAGAGACATACTCATACATGTTAGGCGTATGTACCTATACATGTGTATATTGGCATTTATGTATCACACACATGTACATTTAGTACCCAAATTCTACATCACAAGCTGTAAATTGGATCAGTGAAGAAGAAATTCTACTTAGAGATTGCTCTGAAGGGAAAGTGAGGCAGCACAAATTCCTCTGCAAGGATTGGGTACGGTAAAAATAAAGGAAACACCTCTGTGTTGCTCCTCCTTTGCCCCATGAAAGTTGTTCATCTTTTTTTCCCCCATTTTTCCTCTAAGTTCCTGAGCTACTGTTGCCATATCTGTCTCCTCTCTCCAGGCCAATCTGGTTCACACTGACATTGCTCTTCAACTCACCTTTCAAAACCAAACTGCTTATGAAGATATCAGAATAATCATGCTATTCCATGAGAAGTGTTCCTCTGCAGGAGGAAGGTATAGCTGAGACAGCCAATTTTCTGGGCAGAAAGAGAGCTCTGTTCCCCATCACAGAAATCAGAGGCGCCTGATGACAGATGCAGGGTGCCATTTTTCTGAAGCAAGAGACAACCTCTGGAGCTGATTTTTCTCCTTCCTATAGCAGCAGAGTTCAGAGGCAGAGCTGTGCCCATTTCAGGGTTCTACATTACACTCCATCTTTACTGTGCCATAGTTCAAGCAGTGTATTCATTAGAATTTTTTGAAGAATGAAATCAAGGATCCCAGGAGGCACACAGAGGTGACATTTTGAAAGACAAAGACATTTACATCAACACACTTAAAGCTCCTGTGGTTTTTCATCAATGATCTCATGACTTTTTCCCATAAGGAACCTACAAGGGAACTCAGGGGAGTCCAATATGCATAAAATGAGAAGTTATTTAAGAATATCAGAGTAGGAAAGTATATGGATATACGTGAGAGTAGAGCATGGATGTGGCAAACTTCAGGACAGGCACTGAGTATCTTCCTAATTCTCAGTTGTTTGTTTGTTTTTTTAAGATTTTATTTATTTATTTGACAGGTAGAGTTACAGAGAGAGGCAGAAAGGTCTTACTTCCATTGGTTCACTCCTCAAATGGCCACCATGGCTGGTGCTGCGCTGATCTGAAGCCAGGAGCCAGGTGCTTCCTCCTGGTCTCTCACGGGGGTGCATGGGCCCACGCACTTAAGCCATCCTCCACTGTCCTCCCGGGCCACAGCAGAGAGCTGGACTGGAAGAGGAGCAACCGGGACTAGAACCCAGTGCCCATATGGGATGCCAGCACCACAGGCAGAGGATTAACCTAATGAGCCATAGCACCGGCCCCTAATCCTCAGTTTCACTAGAATATGAGACTCAATAGATTCAATAAATTTTGGGCAAAATACATTCATTCTCTTCAACTGCCATGGATAAGCAAGGGATGCCATTGAGGAGTTTCTCTATACATTCTAGACCCTCAAAATTCATTCAACCAAGCTACTTTATCCATAGCATTTGCTTCCTTAGGATGGGCATTAATTGTATGTTCATGGTTTTCATCAAAGGTTGTTTAAAGAAATAATGACTTGATCAGCCCTTGTCCTGTCAGGAACAATTTAATACTTTATCCCTTTTAGTATTTTTTTTTTGTTCTACTTATTACTATTGGTTGAACTCTGTAATTAACACACATTTATCATTAGGTGTTTAAATTTAACTGAAAAGTGATCCCTGTTAAATATAAGAGTGGGAATAAGAGAGGAAGGAGAAGTACAATTTGGAACATGCTCAATCAGACAAGCCCAAAATGGTAGAGTTAGAAACGGGCCAGGGGATTCCAATTCAATCCCATCAAGGTGGCATGTACCAATGCCATCTCACTAGTCCAAGTGATCAGTTTCAGTTCATAATTGATCATAATGATAGGATTAAGAGTCAAAGGGATCACATAAACAAGACTAGTGTCTGCTAATATTAACTGACAGAATTAAGGAGAGAATGATCCAACATGGGAAGCGGGATACACAGCAGACTCATAGAATGGCAGATGTCCTAAACAGCACTCTGGCCTCAGAATCAGCCCTTAAGGCATTCGGATCTGGCTGAAGAGCCCATGAGAGTATTTTAGGCATGGAAAGCCAACACCGTCTGGCAAAAAAAAAACAAAAAAAAACACCTAGATGAAAGATCTCTGCGAGTAAGATCCCAGTGGAAAGAACAGGTCATCAAAGAAGGAGGTACCTTTCTCTGAAGGGAGGAGAGAACTTCCACTTTGACTATGTGACTATGGCCTTGTCTAAATAAGATCGGAGTTGGCGAACTCAAGAGGCTTCCATAGCCTTGGCAGCTCATGACAAGAGCCTCGGATGATTACTGACATCATAAACAAGTGCCAATTGTTAAATCAATAACGGGAGTCACTGTGCACTTGCTCCCCATGTAGGATCTCTGTCCTTAATGTGTTGTACTATGTGAATTAATGCTATAACTAGTACTCAAACAGTACTTTACACTTTGTGTTTCTGTGTGGGTGCAAACTGTTGAAATCTTTACTTAGTATATACTAAATTGGCCTTCTGTATATAAAGATAATTGAAAAATGAATCTTGATGTGAATGGGATGGGAGAGGGAGCGGGAGATGGGATGGTTGCTGTTGGGAGGGAGGTTATGGGGGGAAAAGCTACTGTAATCCAAAAGCTGTACCTTGGAAATTTATATTTATTAAATAAAAGTTAAAAAAAAGAAATAAAATTTCCATTGTTACTACTGATTGATAGAAGGATGCTGGCTACTCTATCAGCAGTGACTTTCCTACCTGATAATCACATTAGAGGTTTCTCATTATATATTTATTGCTTTTGGGGGCGGGGACTAATCTGTTTCTTTCATTTTGACGTTGAGAATTGGGACTCTTTGTGGTGCAGTGGGTTAAGCCATCACTAGCAACACCTGCATCCTATATAGGAGCACCATTTCAAGCCCTGTCTCCTCTACTTCCAATTCAGCTTCCTGCTTATGTGCTTAGGAAGCCAGCAGATAATGGCCCAAGTAATTGGACCCCTACCACTCATGTTAGAGAACTGAATGAAGTTCATGACTTCTGGCTTCAGCCTGGCTTATTTTTGGCAGATGTGGCCATCTGGGGAATGGGCCAGCAGATGCAAGACCACCATCTGTCTATCAAACTGCCTTTCAAGTAAATAAATAACTGTATAAAAAACCCAGAATTGACTATTTACATCTTTCTATGTGACTCTCAGGAAGCTCAAAACCTAACTTTAAACTGATATCACAACACTGTAGAGTCTTAGATCTGGTTTTTTGTTTTGTTTTGGTTTTCTGTTTGTTTCTTTTGCACTCTTCTCTACACTACAATCTTTTTTTTTTTTTTTTGAAAGTCAGAATTACAGGGGGCAGGAGGAAGATTGAAGGATATATACAGACAGAGATCTATCTGTTGGTTCACTCCCTGAATAGCTGTAACACCTAGTGCTGAGCCAGGAGTTTCTTCCAAGTCTCCTATGTGGGTGGCAGGGACTTAACGACTTGGGCCATTTCCAGTGCTTTTTCCAGACCATTAGCAAGGAACTGGAGATTAAGCAGAGCAGCCAGGACACCAATCACTGTCCATCTGGGATACCAGTGGCATCGCCTTTACACACTACACTATGATGACGGCTCCTTCCCACCCCAATATTAACCTTCTCTTATTCATAGATTCCTGGCCCTGATTTGCTTTAAGTATCTGTAGTTTTCTATCATTTTGTAGTATGTGCTCTCCTAAACTACTTTGAATCCTTTATGTAAAGATTTAAGAATCACACATTTAGAGTCTGTAGGTGTGAGAGCCTTGTATTATTTAACAGAATCTTTCCAGTAACACTAAGAGATGGGCATTATTACCTAGATGTGCAGTCACTCACTCGAAGCCACACACCTATAAAACAGCTTAGCTTGGACTGGCACTGTGGTGCACTGGGTTAAAGCCATGGCCTGAAGCCCCGGCATCCCATATGGGTGCTGGTTCTAGTCCCGGCTGCTCCTCTTCTGAGCCAGCTCTCTGCTATGGCCTGGGATAGCAGTAGAAGATGGCCCAAATCCTTGGGCCCCTGCACCCACGTGGGAGACCTGGAAGAAGCTCCTGGCTCCTGGCTTTGGATTGGCACAGCTCTGGCCATTGCGGCCATCTGGGGAGGGAACCAGTGATGGAAGACCTCTCTGTCTCTACCTATGTAACTCTGTCATTCAAAAAAATAAAATCTTTAAGAAAAATAAAATAGCTTAGCTGAGAATGAACTTTTAGTTGTCTCACTTCCCACCCCTCTTTCCTAAGCAGAAACATTCAGACTTCATTTAGTCAGTGTCATTAGGCAATGATACAATGTGCAACCCTCACCCTACCGTGCCTGCCTCTATCAATGCTTGGTGTTTTTGTTCTGAAATTTAGATAGACACTGCCATTTTCTTCTAGAGGATTCCTATTTCAGTAATGTTTCCAATGGTCAGTGACACATGAGAAAAACCAAACTCTAACTTAAGTAAAACAAAAAGCAAAGCAAAGCAATTTTATTGATTCATATTTGGGAAGGGTGATAAAGGTCTTCATGCACAGAACGCTGTATCCATCTCTTTGCTCTGCTTCCCTCCACTTGGCTTCGCATAAGAAAAGTTGTCTCTACACAGTAGGAATCATAGAACAGTTTCAGATTTGCATGGCCTTAACTCATAATCCCAAAGGAACAAATGGAATGCCCACAACCGCAGAGTCCCTATCAGTCCTTCACACAAATGCTCATTGATGCTGCTTAGGAATCAGGCCCACCTTAGATCCATCTCTCTGTGCAAAAAGATTGGATTCAGATCTGTTAGCCTGGGTCTAGCAGTTTCAGCACAAATATAATTTCAACAGAGGAACTGAGTAACTGAAATGGAAAAGAACAGAATCACATGGCAGTGGATTGTGCAAATCAAACTGAGGTTAACTTGATTTTTTCTTTCTCCTATCACTCAATAATTGAATAAACAGCTTGTTTTTGAGAATGGGGAAAAATAGTTCTTCAAGTACTCTAAATTCATGGTTTTATCGAAAATCTGCAATTCTTGGCTAGAATCTGGGAGCACTGTTTAAAGTAACATGATGTACTATTTTTACTTTTTTAACTTAATATTAAAGCTACTAACATCTAACTTGTCTCATGACTGAGGTTTTGCTTTTATACTGATTTAAATCTAACTGTAGCAATAGGTTGAATACCACATTATAATGCTTGCATCATATCACTAATTTACCTATCCTTCCTTCAACTTTTCCCCAGAAGAACCTCACTATTCTCTACATCGATTGCATTGGATAAAAGCACGGCCATGTAAACACGTCGACAATTTGCACAGGCTATTCATGGGGTAGGGCTTGATAATACATATTTATTAGGGTTCTCCAGAAAACTGAATCAACAGGCTCCTAGTAAGATGGTAAGACGCTAGGATATATCTATCCATCTGTCCATCCATCCTTCCCTTTCCATCCTCCTCCCCTTCCTGCCTCCCTCTTCATCCATCTAGCCATCCAGCTATCCAGCTATCCATCTATCCAGCTATCTATCTATCATCTGTTAGAGACACAAACATGTAGATGTACATGTGCATACTTGGAGATTATGAAGGAATGCTTCACACAGCTATGAGATCTAAGAAGTTCCACAATCTACAATCTGTAAGCTGAAGATCCATGAAAGCTGGTGACATAACTCAGTCCAGCTTTAAAGGCTGGAGAAGCAAGGCAATTGACAGTATAAATCTCAGTCTGAAGATAAGAGATGAGATGTCCCAACTCCTACAATGAGGGATGAATAAAAGAGTGACCTTCCTCCACTATTTTATTCCACTTATACTCTCAACAGATTGCATGATGTCTGCCTACACCCACTTGCATAGGATAATCAATCTTACTGTGTCCATCAATTCAAATGTCAATCTCTTCTGCAAACATCCTCACAGGCACACCCAGAAACGCCGCTTAATCTGGCACCCAGTTGACACGTAAAATTACTACAACACAAGGCACAATCTCAAATATATCTCCTTGTCATCATTTTAACATTAGATGAGGGTATTTATTCTATTAAGTTGCCTCTAAATCTTCATACCTATATCCTCATTTGGATCTTCTTTACAGATATGCACCCCAAGGTCAATCTACTTATTACCTAACATGAGATGCCAACAAGCCAGGTAAGATTATTACAGGCAGCACAAGTTTTCTCTTGGTCTCTTCTGACAGGAGCAATCTCAGAAGCAGTAACAATTGATCCCAACTTGTAGCCCACACTCCTGTCACCGCAGCGAGGGGCAGACCCTCTTGGACTGCTCTTCATCTGGGCCAGGAGAGGAGGGGAGGCCCGAGTCCTGACTCCCTTGAATCCATGATTTCCATCTGTTAGAGCCAAAACAGGACAATTACTTAGACCATCATTGGTTCAAAGTGTTGATGACTAAAGCTAAATACAGCACTATTACTCTACTAAGCTCACATTTAACTAAGCACAGGGAGGCAGCTGCCTTCTCAAATGAAAACATTTGTTAAGATTACTCATTCAAAATCAACAGAGGATTGAGAAGACAGGCCTGGATGATTAGAGGGAGGAGGAGGGAGGGGAAGACAAATGAGCTCGTTATCAAGCCTGTACCAATGGGGTCATCATCAGGTGGCCACACTACACTTGGAGATTTGGGAACAAACCAACACCAAGGTGCCCCTTAGGTTAGCTCCTCTGTTGATGCAGCAGGGATTCAAGGTTCTGGCACCAGTGCTTACTTGGCAAACATTCTGATAAGAGAAGCAGCCTTGGGAGTCAGACAGGTTTCACAAGGATACTTCAGAAAGTTCATAGAAAAAGAAAATTCAAACAATTTTGGTGCAAAAATTTGTTGAACTTATGCATAATTTTTCCGTAATACAAATTTCCAGCAATTTATAAGACTCCTTGTATGCAGGAATTTCAAAAAATCTTTTCATTAACTTACAGTTATCTTTTTTAAAAAGACTTATTTATTTATTTGAAAGAGTTAGAGAGCCAAGAAGAGGCAGAGATAGAGAAAGGTCTTGCATCCACTGGTTCACTCCCCAGATGGCCTCAATGGCCAAAGCTGTGCCCATCTGAAGCCAGGAGCTTCTTTCAGGTCTCCCATGAGGGTGCAGGGAACCAAGGACTTGGGCCATCTTTTACTGCTTTCCCAGGCCATAGCAGAGAGCTGGATCGGTAGAGGAGCAGCCTGGCCTCGAACTGGCGCCCATATGAGATACTGGTGTTTCAAGCCAGGATGTTAACCCATACAGTTATCTTTTAACTCCATTTCCCATGAACTTTTTGATGCACCCTTGTAAACAATAGCTTTGCCCATCACGGGATGTTCAGTATTGAGTCAAGAGTTTGCTTGTATCTTAGTTTTCTCATCTGTGACATGCATAAGACATGAACCAATCATGCGCTTACATCCCAGAGGATCAGCTACCCAGAAGCTCCACAGTGAGGGCTGCCATTTTCTAAGGACCAAACCACTCTGAACCACAGTGTGGGGTGGTCCAAGCTCAACAGGCATTCCTTCTCCCACTCAGGCAGGGGGTTCACATGGGTTCCCAGGGGAGTTAATCCCTGTGGTTTAGGATATGGAAACTATAGTTGGACCTTGTTTGATTCTGAAACTATTTTACACTAGATGTTCTTTTCTGATCATTTGTGAAGATTATGTGACACACACACACAATTTAAGGATTTTACAAATTCTTTTATTCCTTTGAAAGGAAACTCTTTCTCATCGACCTCCATTTTTCAGCTACTTCTTGCCCTTTCTCCTCCTCCTCCTCATCATTACTCTAACTAGGAAGCACAAAGTCAAAATGAACCATCAAACCAACTAAAATTAACATTAAATTATTGATACAGGATGCTTTGTTACATGAAATTGCCACTTGAAATGTGAATATTTATCATTCTCTTGTATGATTTTGTGAATTTAGTGGTTTCACACCAACTTATTGTTTACAAAGTGCCATGGGTAGGGTGAGAATATGAGCGAAGAGGGAGACATACAGGGTCTTCAGTCTGCTGATTTACTCTCCAAATGCTTCTAACAGCCAGGGATGCACCAGGATGTAGCCAGGAGTCTGGAACTGAAGCCAGCTCTCCCACAAAAGCTGGATTAGAATTGGAGTTGGGCCTTGAACCCAGGCACTCTGATATGGCACATGGGTACTAACTGGTAACTTAGAGGTGGGCCACAATGCCCATGTCTGCAACAGAACTGTTTGCCTTTATTGGTCCCAAACACATAGTGAATATCAAGTGCATTTCTATTTCTTGTTCTATTTTGCTAATTGCTTACTACTGGCTCCATGGCTAGAGGGACCCACAAATGTGGAGGTGACAGAGAAGGATTAGATAACAGAGAACCCAAGATCTAATGTCCCAGACATCCTTCTAAAGTGAGAAAGTCCCACACTTCCCCTACACAGAAATTTATGAATATTTTATACAGAGGTCAACAAGTGAGGAATAAGTTTTCACAGCTCAGCCTTTCAAAACCAGAGTCAGAGTCTTCCTTGCTATTACAATGGATAATACTGTTGTACACAAGGGCCCAAGCCTGCTCAGAGCACTATGCTTATTGGCCCCAGTATCCTCAGCTACCAGGCCAACTACACTTGTCCTAGATAATACACCAGCTGTAAGTGTAAAACTCACACTGCAATTTGAATACTTGCTGTGAAAAGAGAATATAAAAATTCTCAGGAATGTTTAAGTTGATTACGTAGTTAAATAATATTTTAGAAATTAGTATAAATGTCATAAAATTAATTACTCCTTATATTTTTAAAATTTATTTCCTTATTTAAAAGGCAGAATCAGAGAGAGAAAGAGAGAGACAGAGAAAGGAGGAGAGACAGATCATCCACTCTCTGGTCTACTCCCAAGATGGCTGCAAGAGCCAGAGCCAGACCAATCCAAAGCCAGGAGCCAGTAACTTCTTCCAGTTCTCCCACATGAGTGAATGGGTCCAAGTACTTGGGCCATCTTCTCTTGCTTTCTCAGGCCATTAGCAGAGAGCCAGATTGGAAATGCAGCAGCCGCAACTCAAAGCAGCATCCATATGGGATGCTGGCACTCCAGGAACCAGGTTTACCTGCTATGCCACAGTGCTGGCCCCTTTTTCATAGTTTTTTAATGAGGCTACTAGAAGACATAAAGTTGAAATACATGGTCTTCATTGTATTTCTACTGGATAGCACAACTCTTTGTATGACTTGGTTCCTTTCTACCCAATAAATCATTAAGTCTAACTGGCTCCTATATTACTTGGGGTTCTCCAGAGAAACAGAACTGACAGCAAGTATGTATACATGTGTATACACACACTTTATACAGACATAGATACACAGTGAGAAAGACAAAGATTTTAATGATTGGGTTCATGTCCTGTAGAGATGAAATTCTAAACTCTGCAGAGTAAGCTCACAAGCTAGAGATTTCAAATCCAAAGTAATCTGCCGGTAGAATTTCTGCTTGCTCGGGAAGGTCAGTCTCTGTTTTATTGAGGCCTGCAACTCACTGGATGAGGTTCATTTACTTCGCTCAAAGTTTACCCATTTAAAGGTAGATATAATCCAAAAATAAGCTTCCACAGAAACATCAATGATGTCTCACCAAATATTCAGATATGCTGATCCAAATCACTTGACACAAAATTACTAACTTGACCACCCCTCTCCCTCTTCACTGCAACCATCTTGGGCCAAGCCATCACTGTTCACACCTGAAAAATTTTAGCAGCCTTCTAACTGGCCCTGAAAGCCTGTTTTTATATTTAGCTGTCAGAAAGATCACCTTAGACCCTCAACATCCTGCCTCTTTTATTCAAACTCTTTCAGTGACTTCTCAGCGCTGCTAGAAAAAAAACCAAATGTGTCACCATGGCAATAAGGCCCCACATGACCCAATTCCCGCCCACCTCTCCAGCCTTATTTTGATTTACAATCTACTTCTTTTCAAGGATGCACCTGTGTTGACATTCTATGGGCTCCTCTCAAGAGTAAGGGGATACAGTAAGGTTGGTAGAGAGAAGACATCAACAACCCATGCTGGTTTCTACCTTGGGGCCTTTGCACCAATAATTCTCTTCCCTGGAAATCTCTGATATTCACATAGATGGCTTCTTATTTTCACTAAGATCTTTGTTGAAATGTTGCCTCCTCGGAGGCCGGCGCCGCGGCTCACTAGGCTAATCCTCCGCCTAGCGGCGCCGGCACACCGGGTTCTAGTCCCGGTCGGGGCGCCGGATTCTGTCCCGGTTGCCCCTCTTCCAGGCCAGCTCTCTGCTGTGGCCCGGAGTGCAGTGGAGTATGGCCCAGGTGCTTGGGCCCTGCACCCCATGGGAGACCAGGAAAAGCACCTGGCTCCTGGCTCCTGCCATCGGATCAGCGCGGTGCGCTGGTCGCATCGCGCTGGCCGCGGCGGCCATTGGAGGGTGAACCAACGGCAAAGGAAGACCTTTCTCTCTCTCTCTCTCTCTCTCACTGTCCACTCTGCCTGTCGACAAGAAAAAAGATAAAAAAAAAAAAAAAAAAAAGAAATGTGCCTCCTCGGAGAGCTTGTCACTGAGTACTCAACCCAAAGCAGGCAAACCTGATCACATCCTTGGTATTTATCTTCTTTTGTCATGAATATCACTTTTTGAAATTTTGTATCTGGTTAACTTATTCATCATCTTTCTCCCAGCCAGAAATGTGAGCTGTGTCTGACCATAGGCCTTAACTGTGTAGTTTACTGATATATTTCAAGCACTTAATATATGGTAGGATTTCTGTATACATTTATTCGATGAAGAAAGCTGTCTTGGGCAGAATGAAGGCCGCTGTATCCTGTGCACTGGAGGAGGGTGGAAAGCACCTCTGGACATGCAATGAAGATCCTTATTTATCCAGTCCGAGCAAAGTTGTCTCGGAGAAGTCACTCAACTATTTCATTGTTTAAAGTATCTGACACTCTTTATTGTCAGATTTCAGATGAGACTAGGAGACAGGGATTGTCTTTAAGTGAGTAAATCATGACTAAGGTTGGAGATTTCTTTGTTTCTTAAACAACCCTAAGACTCCTCCCCTAGGATGTTACAGTGGCCATGGTATGTGATACAGTTTAGCAACAATACTCCAGGCACATGCTCCCGAATTGTCTCCAAAATCCTTCAATCTATACTTAAATAAACTCAGTTTAGTCTGAAATTGGGTTAAAAGCTCATTAAGAATTTAAGATTTCAAATCTATTTCATAGTCATGCAGTCAAATAAATGTGGTACCCTGGGAGTTAATGAAACTGTGGACATGCAGATCTTATCCTTTCAATTTTACCCATGTGTCTGAAGGCAATAATTTGAATAATT